ATTTTCCGCCGCAAGGGTTTTTGAAATTGGTCCGTGCGCAAAGCATTGTGGGGATTTGAAGGACGCAAAGTCTACCCATGTGCAGCCTCGAAATTACCCCCAAACCAACGACATGGCCTCGGTGGAATTCCAAGTATGCTGGAGATTGGAACAGCCCTTCGGCGGCACTCGATGACGTAGCATCCTTGAAATATTGGGCTTGGAAGCCAGTTTCCTCGCGATTGAGGAACGGCCCTTGTTTTTAGATAATTGGTTGTTGCTAGGCATCTGTAACACAACCAACTGTTTGCATATTTTTGTGACTTTCAGCCAGCTTCCAATTAAACTGCTAATATACAACCAATGTATATGTTAAGCTACCCTAAATGTCTGCAACAACAGACACTTATGTTAGCAAATCTAAGTGCTTCATTTTCTCCTTCTGTAGCTGCAGTGAAAGACATCGATCGCTACCAGGAGAAAATCACAGTTTCTCTCCAACAGGCTGCTCTTTCTCCCGGCTTGGAGCACATCAAGCTGGGTGTCTTTCCTCGCGAGGAGTTGCCCATACACTACAGGTAACTTACACAACATGAAATGACAAAATAAACAACACAAACCTCTAAAAAGCTAATCCTTATTTAAAAAAAGAAATGTATAATACAAATCCAAATGTGTATGAAAAGGTTTGGTGGTGTACTGAACAGCAATTGTAACATTACTTTTTGAATGTATATCTTAATGAATGGATGTGGGATGCATTTTAATCAAACATCCCACTAAGAAGAAGGATACTTGCTTTATACCAAATGTACCTTATGTGTCTGTCAATGGTAGAGACCCTGTCTCATGCACTAATATAGATTATTCTAGGTGCTTAAAAAAGCTCAATCTCATTCATGAATATAGCTCATGTTCACTTTTTTCACTGTGAGCTTTGTAAATGCTTAGTGATCACCACAGAAGATAAAATAAGCCCTTCAACACACAACCAGTTTTTTCTTGTAGATCGTGTAACTGTCTGACTCCTCTCCTCTTTCTTTTAGTCGTAGCCTTCGTGCAGCCGCTGACTCGCGTGAGACATACGAGTGTATACTGAAGAGCTGCCATGGTTACCACAACCCCTCTGTGGTGGAATACCTGCTGGAGAAGGTGGGAGTTAGTGACACCCAACCACCATCAATGATGAGAGGACTGCAGAGGTAAACAAACGGCTGACATCTTATCCCTGTTGTCCCTCTGTGTTACAAATGTCGAGGCAAGTTGCAATCCGTGAAAATAATCACTTTTAAGTTGGTTATCGTAAGCTGGCCTGAAAAAAGATATGACTGAGAATGGCACCTGGAGAGTGCAGACCTTCCAGCCATGCCAACTGTGCATTCATGTGATCTCTGGACTGTCCCATCCCCGAGCTGGGAAATCATGTGCTAATACTGAGTTGTTGAAGGGATGTTCACTGGAGTTTACCCAGAAGTCAGTATTTGACTTGCCCCAGTACAAAGGCCAACGCTCTTAGAACATCAGCCTTGCATGTCTTGTAACAGCCAGACCCCAGCCAGTGTTAATGTTTTTTTACTTTAATCTTGGCAAGTTGTTATTCGGCCTTTGCTGTAGGCAGGTAAACACTGATTCTCTTTAAGAACAGGAAGCCTACAGCGTTGACAGAGAGCTGTTAGATGGTCGATACTCACTGAAGTTCTGTCTCTTTTCTCCACAGTAAACTTTTTCACGAGGAGGATTTTGCCTCAGCAATCAGGAAGAGACAGTCTGCATCGTGGGCCTTGAAGTGGTAAAGCTAGAGTGTTTCATTGGTCTCTCATATATACCACAGCACAAAGGGAAAATCATCCCATGTTCTAGTCTTTCTTCCTCTGACGTTAATAAAATCCTTTTTCCCTGCTCCTTGTCTGCCTTTGCTCTCTCAGTGTCCGTGCAGGTGTAGACCACTTCAAACATGGTCGTCATGTGGAAGCCATGAACGAATACAACAAAGCGCTGGATATCGACACTAATAATGTAGAAGCACTGGTGGCACGTGGAGCTCTGTGAGTTGATTCTACTTTATTGAATGTTATACTATATCACTCTTGTTTGGGCTCACAGTTTACATAAATAACCATTTTCATATAGGTCCTCTTGAAAGTTGATTTCTACCTTTTTTAGACAATCATAGCAAAACTTTTACTACCCATTTACTTGGTTTACATTTTGGTGAATGTTAAGGCAATACCTTTTGTTAAGAAATGTTCATGTGTGCCCTGTGAGTAACACGTAAGAACAATGCCTCAGTCAAAGAGTAAGTAATTTGAAAGAGAACATGAGAAACAATATTTCTGAACATGTCATCTCTTCATTGTCTAATGTGCTTGGAAATGCACGTATTTCTTTGGCTTGGCGCCAGGCACAGCAAAAGGAAACTCCTTTTCGAACAACATCACAGATTCATGTTCCAGAGAACTGCAGCGATGCTAAAACATAATACCCACAGTTAGTGAAACCTCAAGGTTTAAGCAAAAAGAGAAGGAAAGTAAATCCAGTTTGGAGCCTAGTTCTCAAGGATGACGGAATTCTCCTTTTTAGATGTTTTTTGATCGTATTGTGCATTTCTTTCATTTGTTGTCATTCCCAGGTATGCTAACAAAGGCAGCATAATGAAGGCCATCACAGACTTTGAACTGGCCCTGGAGAACTGTCCAGATCACCGAAATGCCAACAAGTACCTCTGCCAGACTCTAGTGGAGAGAGGAAAACAGTAAGCGTTGCTACCTTTGCTTTCATGAGTTCAAGAAGAAGGATAATTGAATGCAATACTGCTAAAAAATACATTCAAATGTAATGGTCACTAACAAATAGCTTTAATGATTTCATGTGAACAGCTCAGTAACATTTTCTTCAGTCCTGGTTGTTTTTCAGAAAATGAAAAAACCATTACTACATTAACCTTTGTGATCTACGTCCTCGTGCCTCTGTGCTGTAGGCATAACGAAGGGACTTCCTGCTTAGATTACTTATTTCATGCAACAACAAGGTTGCCAGTGAACTTCCTTATTTATATTGAGTTAATATAAAGCCAGGTTCAGTGTGAGGGCTGCGGTTAAAGGCAACAAATGATTATTATTCGATTTAGCAGTGCTTCCATTTCCATGAACCATTTGATTACAGTCTAGAGAGGTTTTGTTAGTTAAGTGTCTCGTTATTATAATTATTATTATTGTATGTGACAAAGAATTGGCCTTTCCCAGCAGTTGCACCGCCCTTAGAAACAATGCACTCTGCCATCTCTTACTGTCACTACCTCCCTTTTTTAAACTACGATTAAAGTGATAATTAGAAGTAGGAACGCCTGTGAACAAAGTATTTGATGAGTCAACACTGGCTAAGAATGTTAGGAGCGCTGCTTTGGAACAGACAAGTAGTCAATTTGAATCTGGTTTGTTGGGATAATTGTAAAAAACACAACTAATGAAGACATACGAGTTGTAAAAGCCTGGTATATTGGCCCTTGTTTCTGATCAATATCTGGGATCTTATAAGAGTTCTAGTGTGTGTGTGTGTGTGTGTGTGTGTGTGTGTGTGTGTGTGTGTGTGTGTGTGTGTGTGTGTGTGTGTGTGTGTGTGTGTGTGTGTGTGTGTGTGTGTGTGTGTGTGTGTGTGTGGAGGTTGGGATGTGTGTCACAGGGCCAGTACAATACCCCCAGACCTCAGCTTTTTGTCCTTGTCCACACATTAACAACACACCCTGTCCCATTGCTTTTCATTTACATTAGTGCCTGGATGGGCGAGCGAAGGACACAGACACAGAGAGAGTGAGAGAGGCTTTCCATTAAAGAAGTGGTCCCGCAGCAGATGCCCGCATTGTTTGCGTTCGAGAGCCCAGAAATATTTGGTATTAGGAATGAGTCCATCAGTGGAGTCATCTCGTTTTCCACTTCAGAGCTAATAGGTGTAAGGCTGTTATGAAGATTGGATTTTAAGGTTGCCTGTGTTTGAGGAAGAAAAGAGAGAAAAGTGATTTTTAGATACTTTGAAAGTATCAACGTATCCAGTCCTAAAGAGTCCAGCTCTGTCTTCTTTAAAGAAAAGACAATGTCATAAAAAAAGTATTTTGCTGTTTGAAAAGCATTAGTTTGAAGTGATCATGTGTCCTTGAGCAAGGAGTAGTTCTTACAGACATGCACCTTGCATTGCTGCTCTGGTATACCATTGTTCTGTGTGTCAGTGACAAATAGTAAAGTATGTTCGAAAGACACTTTATAAATACATTCCCATCTGTTGTGGCAGAGATGTTGGGTCGAAACATACAGTTGGTCGTGGGCGTTATATGTCAATGTGTCTTCTGTCATCCTTAATGGCATCACTATTCACTCATGTTTTAATACAAGTCCAACAGGTCTCATATACAGTAGGTCACTTATTTGTGCATTCAAAAACATATATCAACAGTCTTTTAATGTTTCATATTTGAGTACAGGATGGGTTTCAGTGGTCAATTCTCCAACAACCGAGAGAGAATAGTGCGTGTGTGTGTGAATTTGATTCTATTACACGTTGTGTGTATCACAGAGCAACATGGCAGCGCTAAATGCAGCAGATGTTAACCATAGGAGGCTAACACATGACAGCTTGGAGCTCTTTGGTTGAGGGCAAACACACACACACAGTGATGCTCACACACACATACACACATACAGTTATACTCTCACACACACACACACACACACACACACACACACACACACACACACACACACACACACACACACACACACACACACACACACACACACACACACACACACACACACACACACACACACACACACACACACACACACACACACACACACACACACACACGCATAGATAGACGTGGCCATATGCATCATGTTCCCCAAACTGTGATTACGTAAAAGCAGCAGTACTGGAAAAAGCAATTTTGCAATAATTGCCAGATGAACAATTAAAGTATAAGAATTAGGCCCCTTTAAGAGTGATACTATTTGATTTATATTTTTACTTCTTGCTTTTTAATGTAACTCATACTTTGTAACGTACATTTTAACCATAGTATTTGCATTTTGTTTCCGTCTCTTGCAAACCTTTTAACAATGTAAACAGCCTTCTAAATCCAACTGACAATGGTAGATGTGAATTGTATCTCTGGAAAAAAAAGGCACTTGCTCCTTGGGTTTGCCATGACATTATGTGAATATGTCGTGCTTTCTTTACTTTTCACACACATGCACACTAACACACACCAAGTTACGCAAACAGACTTGATTTATTTTCCCGCGGACCTCAATGCATTTATGCGTCCTTTATGAGCTGGTTGTGAAATTCAACAGGTACTGTTTAAATAGGAGAGTGTGTGTGTGTGTGTGTGTGTGTGTGTGTGTGTGTGTGTGTGTGTGTGTGTGTGTGTGTGTGTGTGTGTGTGTGTGTGTGTGTGTGTGTGTGTAGGCTTGAAGAACAGGAGAAACTGGTCACAGCAGAGGGACTTTACAGGAAAGCTCTATCTCTCGATGAGTCAAACCCTGAGGCCCAGGAAGCGCTGCACAAAATAACCGAGACTATACAGGTGAGCGGGAACCACACACAAACACGCTGGGTTAGGCGAAAGTTGGCAGAAATGCACTTTGTGTATTTGAGCCTTATCTATTAAAACACACCCTAACAATAAAGTGCATATAGAGGCTTGGCTAAGCTCACATTTCAATGTAGTGGATTGTTTGATTTTGGGAAATCAAATGAATAAAGAGCTCTCAGAAGCTTTGTGTATTTTGTGACCCAGTCTTTCTTTCATAGAGCGACTATAGTCAAAATGTTTATATTAGCAGAGTTACATGACTACTGGTGTGTGAAAACAGTCATAAAGGCTTAAGAACCAGATACACAACTCTAGATAAAGGCACATTTTCTTCTACCTGTACAGCTGCTGGTTGCTTAGTTAGGGAACTGTTCATTCACAGCCTTGTATCCACTGCCCCCGAGTGGCCAAGAATGAAGGGGTTTAAATGAAAGCACGGATAAGACATGCATGAATCTTATAATCAAGGGCGTGCAGACACACAACTTGACTATTTAGATTTTGCAATGACATCACAACAGGTGCAGGTATTGATATGTAGGTGTTTTCATCTTTAGAAACTAACTTGAACGGGAATTCTTCCTTTTTGATGATTGGCAGTTTTCTAAGATCAGATTATTTGTTGTACATGCATAGCTTTTCAAACTGCCTCCCTGCTGGCCACTTTACATGATCTGATTATTAACCAATAGAGACAAAAAGCAGGAAGGATTTAAACTCCTGTGTGTCTGCTAATGTTTTACCAGCTTAATATCCGTCTAAGATTCATATCCAAACAGGAGACATTCCTTGTGGATTTGTAGGCAGCTATTAAATGGATAGGTCAAACTTTGCCCTGTATAATAAAGTCTTTACTCAGTATATTAACAATTAACAAACAGCTAACTATATGATATTAAGTGTTTCTGGAGTCATTTCAACAACCTCTACAATATGTTATTATTTAGATGCACACAGAATACACTTTATCTGTTCCATTTTCATGTGTTAACACAAAATATGAATTTTGAAAGTGAATTTTGTACCTAAACTCATCCATGTTGGTTTGTAAGACTGATGAAGTGTTTTGGTGTTTGTGTGTGTGTCTGCGGCCTCGGGACTCTGACTCTTTGACCCTTCAACTTCCATGGCCTTGTCACGTGCTTTGCGGTGGTGAAAATAAATAAACGGCACAATGACATCAACTCCTCTATTGGACTCTCGTGCGTCCCCCTGGTCCAAATCGGTAACGTTGAAACATTCTCTCTGTCTGATTGGGAAACAAATGCTTTGTGCTTTCTCTGCCTGTACCTCTCTCTATCTATTCTTCTGCTTCTCTGCCAATACCGTTCTCTTGGATTACACAACTGTTTTTAACCCTCTGTCTATTTCTTTATCATGTCGTCTGTGGCGTGTGATCATAACATTCTGCTGTCCTTCTCAAATCTCTGACTTTCCTTTGTCTCCAACATGAATCATTTACTAAATGGCTGATAACTGATTGTTTTCGGGGTTGCATGTCTTGGGTCGTGGCGTGTTTGAATGTGTCTTTGTGGACTTTTGCTTGCCATTGTTATGTCTTGCCTTGCATCACCCGGCGGCCTTAAAGGTATCAATTCGCCTGCGAGAAGAAGCGGTGGCTAAGGAGCAGGAGAAAGCTACGATCAGCCAGACCAGCGCTGAGAAATTGCGTAAGATCTTAAAAGAGGAGAAGAGGTGAGTTGTCCGATCTTTTAAAGCTGTGTCAGGTACATTTGCTACACATGAAGTCATTGAGATCCTAACTCCAAATCATTTGAGGTTTATGAGGATGAAGTGTTGAGTGGATGTGTTTTTAATTTTTTTACAGAATGAAGAAGAAACGCAAGAGATCAGCATCTTCCAATCCCTCATCCACCGCTTCCTCCAGAGACTCTTCTCCTTCTTCTTCTTCGTCGTCTGACTCCTCTCGCAGGAGGTCCAAAAAGAAGAAGAAAAGGAGGAAGCGGGGAAGTAAGCGCCATCGCAGGATCTCCTCAAAGGAGAGCAGCAGCAGGAGGAGCGAGGAGGGTAAGAGCAAGAAAGACCGGAAGGAGAAGGAAGAAGAGGAAGAGGTGGAGTGGTACCCCGCTCCTCCAAACACCTCCGCCACCTTTCTCAACCAGAAGGGAGGCCCGAGGTTTGGGGAGGAGGATGAGGGGGAGGCAGTGGAGAACGAGGCTGAAGATAAACGCATCTCTCAGCTGTATTCGTTGTCTGCAGCTTCAGAGGACGAAGAGTCCGACTCGCCACAAACAGAAAGGAAGAGAAAGGACGGAAAGGAGAGTAGGACAGGGGAAAAGAAAAACAGTCAAAGCCAGGAAAGAGAGGAGAGGGGGAGTCGGAGTGGAGAAAGGAAGGGTGAGAGAGGGAGGGAGGATAACGGGAAAGAAAGGAGAGGAAGTGACTCCAAGAGGAGAAGCAGCTTGGGGGAGAACAGACGACGAACAGTGTCCTGCTCGTCCGCCGACTCTGCGTATTCACGGAAATCTATTTTCAATCCTGAATATTTAGGGAACTCTGCTTCCACGTCAAAGAGCATAGAGAGTAGGGTGAGACATGACGCGCCCAAGAGGAACTCCTTCGATGGAGGTAGGTATGAGAACAGAGGGCGGGAAGAAATTCAAGAAGTAGAAGAGGCAAAGGGAGATAAGGATAGCAGGAAGGGGGAAGACGAAAATGTACCAGGAAGTGGTAGAAAATCAGAAGGTGCGGGAAATCACACCAGACCGAGTAGTTTGACCTCAGTGCCAGGAGGAAGCGTTAAGAAAGACCTCCCTACTAACCTGTTGGATATCTTCAATCAGATCGCCCAGTTTAAAAAGGGGAAGGGAGGCGGGCCGAGAAAATAAGTCAAAAGTCCACAACGTGCCCGATACTAGTGACTGAAATGGATGTTTGTACTATGAATTAATTCAGCCCTGCTATTGCGTTGTTCCCAGTTGTTGTGGATTACCTTCAGTGTCGAAATGTCTTATGGTGGATTTAAGGCTTGTGAGCAACGGTAGTAATTGCTCGTCAAAATGCTCATAATGAATACCTTCCTGGACTAGAATAGTTCACATGCCCCCAGGATGATCCAATATCCCCAGGTGGGAAGTCGCTCTTCCTGCTCCAGTGTGTTTGAGTTTTAAGTCGTATTGTGAAAACATGGATTCTAAAAAGATACCTTTTTATATTCTTGATCTGAGTGTTAAAACAACACATTAAAAAAATATCTTTCCTAGTTGAGGAGGGCGTTTATGCTCAAGTTGTGATCGAAATGTTCTGAACATAATTTGTGCCCATGCTATGCTAACTTTCCTGAAGATGGTAATTGTACTGTAATCCAAAAACATAACCTCATTGGCAAAACGGAGGAATGTGATGAGAGAATGACATTTTCCACTTATTGTATCTTTTGAAAAATAACGACGATTTCAATGACTACAAGTATTCGATTTTAGGTCGGTATTATTTGATCATGTGTTGGGTGTTCTCCATTCATAGAGGGTCTTTTGTGTACATTTTGACAAGGTATTACATATCCCTCACGTCTGGGGTCACTTCAGTTGCTCCAGGCTTTAATGTCTCTTGTTTTGTGTTCATTTTGAGTTGAGTCTTTTATCTGTTCAAAAAGATACTGCCTTATGTTTACTGCCTTGGGCCATTTGTGCTTTCTTTGTGTGGCTTGTTGAATCCCAAACAACCTGACTGTTAGTACTGCTGTACCTTATCAAGCTTTACACCATGCAGATGTTTCAGTTGTATCCCGACACATTTTTTCCTGCAGTGAAATGGGTGAATCAATAAAGCAATTAAAATTTCAAGATAACATGCCGTGTCCAAGTCTTCTAAGTTTTTATTTCAGTTTTTCCACACTTTTATTCATTGCTCTCTATTTCTGTTTTCATCACACTAATGCTAAATAGTAACTGCCTAATAAGCTAAAAAGCTAGTTTGTCATCAATCTAGCCTAGAAGTTAGTTCTAGCCTCACAAGACCAACACACACAGCAAAAGAGTCAAGCAACGTTACAAATCAGCATCTTGATAAAAGACAGCATCCAAAGGTGAAATAGTCAGTTAATATATACAAGTGCTCAGTGGGCCAAATCCCAACTATTGCATGTTTAATTATCGTATTTAAGCTTGTTTTAAAGATCAATAACATATATGCTTGGTGGGGTTTCACAGTTATATTTGTCATAACAAATTAAGTTTCTCTATATAGATGATTCAACATATATTTAGACAATCCTTTACCTTCACTTCAATGCATAGGTCAATCCCTGTCATTCGAATAATAAGTTTTCACAGCAGAGTGTATATCAACACACTGTTCGGAAATTATCTGTCGCCACATATAGCGATCATGCAGTACATCGACCCCTCAGAAGAATTAGAATTTCCTGCTTCTTACAATCATATTTTAAACGTATCGATACGGCTATATCAACAATACACTGAAGCATTTTAACAGTGGTTTCATCATATCATGCTAGAGTTCTAAAAACTCCATGACTCTAGATGGCAGTTCCACGTTATCGAATTCCTCTTTTGGTTTTCCGTGCATATGATATTGTGATTCATTTGACCATAACTACTGAATAGAACCAGGTCCTACATGCATAAACTTAAACCTGTCGACCAACCTCTACTACCCCCCCACTCCACTCCTCACAGGCATACAGCCTCGTTCTCGCATCCCACACTCTCGACTCTCCCACTCTCCTGCTGCCGGCCCCGCCGCCACAACCTCCCCACACCTCATAGTCCGCCACAAATGGATCATTCATGACTAAGAAGAAAATATATATTATGTCAATCAAAACCTATATAATCTAAATTCCCCTAATTTATTCATATCTTTTTCCTTTTACAATCGTTATCTGCAGTTCTTCTCAATCTATTTATTAGCATAAAAACACCCCAACGCGATTGTTTCCACCCCCCGTAAGGAGATCGAGCTGATGTATTTCCAGGACGCGCTCGAGAGTATCCAATCACTGGTCCTAGCGATTGAGCAGTGAGGTATTTGGTTCTTTGGAGCACCAGCTCAGCATTCGCTTCTCCTGCCAAACGACTTCATGAGTTGTTACCAAGAGACAAGCCATACCATAGTGGGTCATCCACTTAGAGGTAAAATTCGCCGCACTAGTCCCTCCGTACCTCCAGCTAGAACATGTCCTCTAGAATCTCAATTGACTACTACCAAGATACGGGTCGTCTCTCGCTGAGGGAATGAACAAGCAAGCCAACAAGATCCGTTGTCTATGCAGCCTCAGCTCACACGCAATCACGAGCGGTCTATGTATCCCGTAATTCCGTTTCATTTCTAGCGATAACTCAGGAGAGAGTCGCGGCGTATGATCGCCTACATAGACCACTCCGAAATCAGGTTATACATCCGGAGCCCTTGTTAGCAATTCTCTCTCTAGCCAGAGAACCTTGTTAGGCGGGAGAGTGGAGGTAGAGCCGGTGCGGCATGCCGTCCCGCACAGAATACCGAATCAAATCGTATTATATTCTCGTTCAGCACACGGAACGGCTCCGAAATACAGAGAACTAGAGCACAAATCGTGCCATTTTGTTTGCGTCATTATTTTTCCTGCCGTTTTGCTATGAACCATCACGCAAACGTTAGTCATATCGCAAACAGACGCATGACTCAAGCACCGCCTTACTCTCTTACTGAAAAGAGCCCGGACAACGAAAACCGGTTATGAACCTGAAAACTCTACACGGATCCTTTAAACTGATTGTTTATTAATAGGTATAGCAAACCTTTCATACTGCCCGACATGTACGTCTGCTTAAGCAGTTGCACATCTGCACTTCAGAATTGAATCCCTCGCGTTATTGTGTTACGATTTACCTTTTACTTTGGTCCCATCTTCTTAGCTTTATAGTCCCCCATGTGTCGGATTTTTTGCTTCACCGTTCTTGATCATTGACCCCACTAGTGATATCTGCCGATACCCCATATCGAGGAATATCATTCTGTATGTCTTCCTTTCGATATTTGACATTTAATTTTTATGTGAACGAGAATATAATAAAGTAATTTGATTCTATTTTTTTCACTCACGCAACCCCCCCCCGCAAAAAACCAACCCCTTAACCTATCGGCATGCATCCACCACCCCCAAAATAAGAAATACATGCGAGTTCATGTCTATTAACACATCTGTCTTCTTTTTATCAAAGCGAACTTAAATGATCAATTACATTGACATTCTCCCTGGAGTACCGACTAAGCCTTACTCAAGTCACACTAGAGTGTTGTCCAGGCAGGATTTGAATCGCACTCCAATCCCAGCCCTCCTCACATCTATTAGATAGACTACACAAATTAAAAAAATTATTAAATAATATATATTTTATAATCATGTCGACATATAATATATTTATTGCGGCCCGCACAAATAAATCAATGTACGTGAAACACTATTGCCATGTAGATTTTGAAGATGTCACAGGTTACTTGCATCCATCTCTTCAATAGATGAAAAATAGCAAAAACAACGAGAAAATAAACTTGAACTCACAAAAGAAACAGTAAAATGTACTTATAATCAGATTTAAACCAACATTTAAATATGAATATATATGTAAACGCATTCATACCTTTACAACAAGATACTCAAGTAATTCAATTCAGGACTAAATAATAGTAAAATTCAAATAGCTTCAACACTAAGAAAACAACATTACTGGAACCACCACATATATTATAGATCTTTAAAAACCATTAAATCATAATCTAAAACATGCAATAGTGGATTGGCCATTGTATCCTTGTATATTAAACTGACTATTCACCTTGTATGTGTCTTTATCATTATTTTAACTTCTGACTCTTTGTTGTCTTGTATTAGAACATAACTTAGTAGATTGTGAACAAACTACTTTTATTTAGCATTAGTGTGATGAAAACAGAAATAGAGAGCAATGAATAAAAGTGTGGAAAAACTGAAATAAAAACTTAGAAGACTTGGACACGGCATGTTATCTTGAAATTTTAATTGCTTTATTGATTCACCCATTTCACTGCAGGAAAAAATGTGTCGGGATACAACTGAAACATCTGCATGGTGTAAAGCTTGATAAGGTACAGCAGTACTAACAGTCAGGTTGTTTGGGATTCAACAAGCCACACAAAGAAAGCACAAATGGCCCAAGGCAGTAAACATAAGGCAGTATCTTTTTGAACAGATAAAAGACTCAACTCAAAATGAACACAAAACAAGAGACATTAAAGCCTGGAGCAACTGAAGTGACCCCAGACGTGAGGGATATGTAATACCTTGTCAAAATGTACACAAAAGACCCTCTATGAATGGAGAACACCCAACACATGATCAAATAATACCGACCTAAAATCGAATACTTGTAGTCATTGAAATCGTCGTTATTTTTCAAAAGATACAATAAGTGGAAAATGTCATTCTCTCATCACATTCCTCCGTTTTGCCAATGAGGTTATGTTTTTGGATTACAGTACAATTACCATCTTCAGGAAAGTTAGCATAGCATGGGCACAAATTATGTTCAGAACATTTCGATCACAACTTGAGCATAAACGCCCTCCTCAACTAGGAAAGATATTTTTTTAATGTGTTGTTTTAACACTCAGATCAAGAATATAAAAAGGTATCTTTTTAGAATCCATGTTTTCACAATACGACTTAAAACTCAAACACACTGGAGCAGGAAGAGCGACTTCCCACCTGGGGATATTGGATCATCCTGGGGGCATGTGAACTATTCTAGTCCAGGAAGGTATTCATTATGAGCATTTTGACGAGCAATTACTACCGTTGCTCACAAGCCTTAAATCCACCATAAGACATTTCGACACTGAAGGTAATCCACAACAACTGGGAACAACGCAATAGCAGGGCTGAATTAATTCATAGTACAAACATCCATTTCAGTCACTAGTATCGGGCACNAGGCTCAGCGTTAGCATTGTGGGTTTAAAAAAAAAAAAAAAAAAAAAGATCAGTTAGATGAGTTTCTTCCCGTTACATGTATATAAAACATTCATAGTTTATTAAATGTTAAGATGCCCTCAGACACTGTTTCCTGCAAGATGTTGTGGGAGGGCCCCGGTACCGGGGTCTCTCGGGCTTAACAGGCTAAGGCTTCACTAGTTAACTAATGATATAAAGTGTGTGTAACTTGTTAAATAGTAAGGTAAAAACAATTGTACTACTGTATATACTGGACACTTTGGAACTCACTAGTTAACGTGTAGACATGTTGAGCCTCACTAGTTAACTAGTAAGGTCAAAAGAGGCGGCAACTAGTTAACTAGTGAGCATTTTGCCGTCACTAGTTAACATGTAAGCTTTAATATGTATCCACTAGTTAACTAGTTGCAGTTCATATGGCCTACACACTCACTAGTGAGCCATATGCAAATGAAGCAGACGGGACCCAGATTCTGATTGGTCAGTTCAGCTATGTGAGGGAGAGCCTTAGCAATGTTTTTAGCAGCGTCTTGAAGACATGAGGTGCATCAGTCAGGTATTTAGTGCCTACTGTTAAAATATTGTCCGTGGGAAGTCAGTCAGTGTGTGTTTTGCCTAGAAAAATACATGTTTCTGTTTTTGCTTTGCTCCGCTTTGTGTGTGTGTTTTTGTTGGTGCGATTTTGCCGTATGCTTGAGAACACCGGCACTCGAGACACAAAAGTAGCGGATATGATCGTGGGACATCTTATCAGCGGTGCTCATGAAATGATTAAAGCTGAAACACTGGACAGACTGTTATCACAGTGCTATTCTAATCCAAGCATCTTTCAAATTGCTGCTTAATAAAATGTTTTAAA